TGAGCTGGACAAGTGCTTGTGTGCCATAGAAGTGGGCCTCAAGTGTGCTGCATCCAATCCGCAGGACAGACCTTCCATGGACGAGGTTGTCAGATGCTTCAAGACCTTTAGCTCTGAATCTTAAATATGAGCATTCACAAATAGCACTCCAATATACATATTTATTATATTTTATTTTTATACCTTTTATATGACTTTTGTTATTATTGATATATGTAAATACATATGTATATAAACTTTTGTCCATAACAATGCATACCAAAACATTATTAAAACATGTAACCTTAACCAATATAAATACTTTTGTAACAAATTGAGCTTGTTAATTGCTTAAGTTTGTATCTTTAGAATACTATATAGTCGAGCAGCAACGACCGCAAAATACTCTTCTGTGGTAAAACGTTAAACGAACAGAGACAGAAACAAATATACTCTTTCAGAATATCACCCATTATTAAGAGGTATTATTTTGAGGAAAATATCGATAATACCATCCTAAAATCCCACTTGGTAAATTGTTATTAAAGTGTCAAATATTTTGTAGATGCTCGATTATATTTATATACGTCACAAATGTGAAAATTTTTTCTATAACATTTTATACATTATACTAGCTCCACACTGTTTATATACACATTTTAGTCCGGCTGTTTTGAGTCAAGTATCTAAAAATAAAAAATATAAAAAAATTTATTTTCAAAATTTATTTATTTTGGGAATATATTATAAGGATTAGGACTAAAAAAAAGAAGAAAAGTGAAAAAGAAAAGAGATAAAGAAGAAAGAATAAAGAAAAAAAATTGAAGAAATAAAGAGAAGCGAAGCGAAAATAGAAAGGAGTAGAAGAAACAAGAAAAAAGGAATGGAAAATAAGTTAGAAAAGAAATTGCAGTAGTTAAGAAAAGAAAAGAATAAGCAAAATTTGGTAAGTCCAAAATATACCAGTTAAGACATAATACCATATACATATGGTCATATTCAAGAGTTTATCATAAATCAATCAATCGTAAGCGCAATTGAAATTAGAAGACTACCAAAATATTCCCTTGCCTTTAATGTCAATTTGTTAGTGTTAGACATATACCGTAGTCCGTAGTCCGTAGTTCGTAGTCCGTTGGGGCTGCGTTAGCTAAGTGTTTTGATTCTACCGTCATTTCGGTCATTTGTGCTTGCGTCAATAACAAATACATTTGACTATACTTTGTTGATAATTTTCGTTTTAAATAGAACACAGGATAGCTCAATTTGTTTTTTCCAATTGACAAACACTATGAATTTGAAAAATTCCAAGTTTTACAAAAGAATTCAGGAGCTGCGCAATTTCTCAAAAGAGAAAATACGTAAGGATCGAGAGCAACGGGGCCTGCGCGCCCCAGTCATACGTGGCGTGGAAATGGCCTTGTCCGAGTCCAAATGCGTGGCCCCAGTCATTGAATTGGAATGGTCCCAGCTGGCGGGCCCCCTGAAAGAGGAGTGCTCGCCGCGTCGCCGCCCCTCCCCGCCCAAGATCAAACACAGCAAGAGGAAGGCAAGCGCGGCGGCAGAGCCACGCCTGAAGGGCGGACAAGGATTTCAGCCGGTCAAGACGATCGGCTTGAATGACGAGGCGCCAGTTGAGGGCTATATAGATCTGAACAATTTGCGCTTTCGTGTGGCCTGCACAGCCCGAACAGATAACTCTCCACGACGCGAGGAAATTCTCAAAGTTAGGTGAGATCCCAAATTACATGGGTTGGTCGAACTTTTCTATTCCATTCTCCCTACTCCGATCAGTGATTCAAAGAACGCAATTTGTGTATCCAATTCGCGTTACGCGATGATCGGTCGCATCTCCAAATCTTTGGGTTATAAATTGGTCAAGGAGTCGAAATTGTGGAATATACTGTGGTCTGATTCGTTTCCCGGCGTCGAGCTCTTCAAGAACATGAAACGCTTTCAGCAGATCAATCACTTTCCGGGCATGATCGAAATATGTCGCAAGGATCTGCTCTCACGTAACCTAAATCGCATGCTCAAACTGTATCCACACGACTACAAAATATTTCCAAAAACCTGGATGTTACCCGCTGAGTAAGTTATAGTTACTCGGGCATTCTCTTTCGTCTATGCCATAATAAATTTCTGTCTCTCAGTTACGGCGACGCAATGCACTATGCTCAGAATCACAAACGTACGTTCATTTTGAAACCGGATTCGGGCGCTCAGGGCCGCGGCATTTGGTTGACCAACGATCTGAAGACCATTGGTCCCAACGAGCGCCTCATCTGTCAGACCTATATACATCGAGTATGTATTTTTCACTCAATATCCACCTATAATCCTCTATAACTCTCCCTCTCTCTTTCTCCCACTTCTTGTCCTGTTCAACCTCTCCAGCCGCTGCTCATCGATGGCTACAAATTCGATTTGCGCGTTTACACACTGATTACGTCCGTGGACCCATTACGGCTTTACGTCTACAATGAGGGCCTGGCACGGTTTGCCACTAACAAATATGTGGAGCCCACTCCGGGCAATGCCCACGATCTGTACATGCATCTGACCAACTACTCGGTGAACAAACGCAACTCCCAGTACGATCTGTGTGACAATGACGATTGCGGCAGCAAACGCAAGCTGAGCGCCATTAACAATTGGATGACCAGGCACAACTATGACGTGGGCGAGTTCTGGTCGAATGTGGACGACGTCATCATCAAGACCGTGCTGAGCGCGTGGCCGGTGCTTAAGCACAACTACCATGCCTGCTTTCCGGGCCACGATACCATACAGGCCTGCTTCGAGATACTCGGCTTCGACATTCTGGTGGACTGGAAACTGAAGCCGTACATACTGGAGGTGAATCATTCGCCCAGCTTTCACACCAACGAGCAGGTCGATCGTGAGGTCAAGAGGCCACTCATCAGGGACACCTTATCTCTGGTCAGCACCGTGCTGGCGGATAAAAGGCAGATTTTGCGGGAGGATCGCAAACGCGTCAAGCAGCGCCTGCTCAAGTCCAAGAGCGAGTGAGTAGATGCTACAGCAGATCAAGATCTCTTGATGGCTAAACCTGACCGCCTCCTTACTCCATCTTTTCAGCGTGCAACGCTCACGCCTTGTGGCAGGTGCCACCAAGGTCTTGTCAAACAAGGAAGGCAGTCCGACGAACAAGGAGCAGTCACCAGAGCCGGAGGCCGACTCCCTGGCCCAGCAAATTGCCTGGGAAGAGAGCCACATGGGGAACTTTCGTCGCATCATGCCACCACCAGATCCCAGTCGAATCAACTACTACGGAAAGTTCTTTGGCCAGACCAATCTAGTGTCCATTTTCCAGGAGACGGCGGCTAGCAAGAAGCGCGAGGATCTTGCACGTAAGATGCGCCTCCAGATCGAGGAAAAGAAGGCGAAACAGGAGCAAATGCTGAATTCTCGCAGCAAGCGCAAACGTTTGATTCAGCCTCGCCTGGCGCGCGAGAAGCATCGCCTGAATCTCTTCCGTCTGAAGGAGAACTGGGCACCCGGCTATGTATCCGAGGCTGAGGAGCGCTTGCGGAATACCTGGCAGCAGATGCGCACCGAGGCTATAAAGAATCTAAAAATTACAGAGAGCGTAAGCTTTACGATTCTATATGAAAGTGGGGGATTAGGAGATATCTTGACAGGAATGGCTTTCTACGTATGGTATATTGGAATATGCATTTACAGTTTCTAGTTCTCTTGGTTTATGAGATCTATGACTTCTCACGGACCTACAGATGACGCGAAAGACAGACCCTATATCCTTCTACATTCTGATTTTCGAAAGTACCCCAATTCCTGACTACCCCTTTTCAATGTGGTCAGATAGTCGTAGTCAGATATTAACCGATAAATAAGACTGATATACTTTTCCCTTGTACAATTTCTCTCATTCACTTATTTCGAACTTCTCTTTAACGATCCTATCCCTTCCACTCTAGATATATTCATTGCTCTTCCAGTTTGGTCATTTGAGCAATACAGATATCACGACCTTTCCAAATTTGTATCACTATTTGCAATGTGGTTATGATATAACGGGGGCTACTTGAACATTGGCCTAAAAGAGGACTGGTGAAGCAGTTGGGATAGAAGCGAGGTGCAGTCTCCATATATAATATATAAAATCAAAAAACCCCATTCAAATCAACAGACAAGATCGAGGATCTATTTCAATTTGGTGGTCGCAGATGAGCCTGGCTCTGGTTAAATCACTCAATAGTTGCCAGCAAAAAAAGCAATATACATGCATACGTATATGTATATGTATGTATATATATGTATTTATCTATATATATGTATGTAAGTCTACAACTGTAATGGTGTTTGGTTATGAATTTGTTAATATTTTAAAATTTTAATTAACTGCATCGCATAGCATTGGCCGTACGGGAGAAATTATATTTAGAGTATAAGTAATGTGCAGTAATTGTGGTCTAGACCAATGAAACCTGTTTGTATTGCCGAAATTAACAAATTGAATTCAAAATAATAATTATTAAAAATTTTACGTTTTTATTTAAATAAATTTGTTTGTTTGCGAGCCATTTCCTTATTGAGGGTCATGAACAAAATAAACAGATGATCTACAAGTGTACTTATGGAAAAGACAATATAAACCTGTAAATGAAAGTAAGAATAGAAATGTAAAATGTAATGTTAGAACTCGGACTTCAGTGATATTTTGTACTTCGAAATTCGAAATTTTTCTAGTGTTTACTATATAAGATACTAAAAATAGAAATATTAAAAATATATAGACTGTTTTTGACATTTTATCTAGTTATTGACCCAAAGAAGAATAATGTTTTTATTGAGAACTTTGTTGATATGAGATATTGTTTTTCTTAGGACTTCCCCTAGCTTATGCATTATAAAAGTAAATAGTCCTATTTTTCTTTATTTACAATTCATTCCAGACTAGAAAACATATTGAGCCTAAAATAAGATATTTTGTATTTGATATGAATATATAAGAAAATAAAAATAAAACATAGAATCTCGCTAATCTTTCGTCTACCTATTGGTCGCACTACGCAAATTAAAGTAAATAAATTGTAGATCACATTTCTATATATTTCATATGCTTTCGCTTGGCAATATGCCATCTCGGATCAAACTGAGAAACGAAGAAACATCATTCAGATTTGCATTTGGCGCGTGTTTCTATAGCTGTGAATGGAAAATGTTGAGAAATTCTCAAGAGCATTTTCGAGTGTTTGAGAGAGAGAGAGAGAGAGAGAGAGAGAGAGAGGAAGGCACTGCACAGCAGCAGATCTTCAGTCTGGCCAAGGAATAGCAGCGGCGCAGACAACGCCACGTCGGAGAGCGCTCGTAAATTGGACAAAAAAAGGAATCATTTACAGAGCTTATTGAAAAAGCAATTTGCTAGATTAGTTGGAATCGCATCGTGTAAATTCTTGCGAGCGTGTTTGACGGCATGTTCCGAGTGTCGCAGGAGATTCGCTTGAATTCGAGCGCAGCGGGCGCCGCGGGGCAGGCCCAGGGGCTGGCCGATGTCGGCGATGTCAGCAGCAGTGCGGAGAGTTGTTGTATTTTCGGTCGATACCAGCGCACGCCCGATGCGGGTGAGTGTTGCACATGCGGAAGTAAACATATACATACGTATCGCTGGCTATTTATAAATCCACCACAGATGCGTATCCCACAGAGCCGCCACATGTCTATGTAGCGCCCGAGCTGACCGACGCGGGCAAGGTGCAGTTGCTGCATTTGCCCAGCGGCGCGGTGCGCGTCAATTCCACGATTAGCTTCGTCATCAAGCGCAATGGGGTGAAGGGCAATTTCGATGTGCGCCTCGAGACACCCAGCGGACAGCACGGAGCGCCACTGCAGCTGACGCAGCTGGATCCGGAACGCTTTCAGGTGGAATGTCAGCTGACGCAGGCGGGCCTCTATAAGGTGCACATCAAGTGCAATTCCGTGCCACTGCCCAAGTCGCCCTACATTATAGTCACCATAGCTGGAGCGGCGACACCAATTGAGGATGGGAACGAACATGCCGCCAGCAATCCATCTAGTGAGTGTCCCATATATTCCAGTGTTCACATTTCTAATGTATGCTATGCAGTGCCCCACTTCGAATCCGATGCCAGCAAAGTTCAGAGTCGCGGCCTGGGTCTGACCCATGTCAATCTGCTCGAGCGGAACGAGTTCACGGTGGATGCCAGCTCTGCCGGCAGTAATATGCTCTTTGTGGGTATACTGGGACCGCAGGGACCATGTGATGAGGTGCTGGTCAAGCATCTGGGCCGGCATGTATACCGTGTCGCGTACCAGGTGAGGGATCCGGGCGACTACACTCTGGTGGTCAAGTGGGGTGAACAACACATTCCAGGATCACCTTTTAGCCTCTGTGCCGAGTAACTGGAAGCACGTACAGCAGGCTGGGAACTGATCCGGTTCTAGCTCGGCAGTTATTTCTGGGTGACATTTTGGCTAGGTATACATTGTAGTGTTTACATACATTCATATTATATTTTTTGCATTAAATATATTATTTCTTAAATTTAAAAAATAATTCAACCCTAATCAAATTAATTGTTGTAATTACAACTTTATCCAATCCATTAGCTTCATTGATGACGAACTCCGCTGACGAACGAAATCGTTCGCTCGCAACATGAACCGAACCATTGACAGCTCTTTGTTTTTGCGTTGAGTTGCCATTCAAAATACTATGTCAATGGCTCATCCACCAGTTGCCTGTTGCGGTAAGCGTACTCCGCGGCTAAAGTTCATTCTATGTGCAATCTAATGATGATTACCAACTGATGACGACGACAACTAAACGAAAGAGCAGCATTATCATTTTTTGTTATTTAGCCGACGCTAATGACGTTCGCATTTAGTATATGTATGTGCTAGGCAGGCAGGCAGTGAGGGGAGCGGCGTGGCATCCAACCTAATGATGATGACTGCCATACGTCGCATACGAATGTGCGTGTGTGTGTGTGCTTGTATGCGCGCCAACAATAGCAGTTACCCATCATAGTGTTACTGCCTGGGAGGGGGAGTACACAAAAGGTTGCCACAGTCGCAGTTGATGATGATGATAATGCGTTTGCTTTGCTCGCCTTAACGAGCTGCCGTAGCTGTAGCTGTAGCTATTGCTGCCGCCGACTGGCGCGCTTAAGATAAATTACATGGTCATGCTCATGACTGGAATCAAGCTAGAGCGCATCGCAAAAATCATTACTCATTGAGTTAGCTGTGGGCGTGGCTGTACTATATATGTACATATGATAACAGCGTACTAGGTTGATTGGCATATTGTGTTTGTCATAGAAATTAAACTTGGCACATTTCAGCATGCACATGCACACAAATGTTATTTTGAATATTTTGCACAAAACACAATCGGGGTGGCAACGCCGCGCAGTTTCTTGTCACACTAGCTGCACTGCTCACACCATGTTGCGCGCGCTATCGCTGTCTCGCTTGTAGAACATCATTATGGCCGTGTTGTGTCTTGCCATCATTAGTGTTGGTAAATATCTCGAGCTGAACTGCTAACTACGTTTTTCGTGTGTGTGTTCTTGAACATAATTAAAATTAAATTATTTAACTTATTATTAAGTTTTGGATTTGGTGTGTTGTGCTTGTTGTATTTGTAACACTGTTTGCGCGACCAGGTGCTGCTCATGCTCGGCTCATGAGCATTGAACTTACGATTGCCGTAATCGAAGGAAAAGTATGTACCTGTGCGTGTGTGTGTGTGTATCTGTATCTTCATTCTTTGCAAAGGGAAAAAAACTGTTGTAGTTGTACGCGTGTGTGTATTCAAGAAAAGTAACCATCTCTTGCCCCCACGGGCAACAACAAAATATTCGTATTGTTGTTGTTGTTATTTCAGCTGCTGCTGCTGTTGGCCCCATCAACTGCGGGCCAGCAAGTGCCAATGTAGCGGCAACGTCGACATCGTCGTCATTCTTGCTGCCGCAGCCGCCGCTGCTGTTGTTGTTGTCGCTGCTGTTGCTGTAGCATCTTCATTTGGCCGCAGCTTTTGTATACTTGAAATACCGCTTCAGTACAATTTGAGTTGCCGTCGCGTTAGCTTCTACTTATTTGTTGTCTCGTGCCCGCTACGCGTGCATTTACACCTTGCGCTTCATCTTTTGTTTACCAGCTTAAGCTTAGCATGTGAGTGTGTGTGTGTGTGATTATGTGCCGGTGTACAGCTTAATGATAATCTAATACTCTTAATTATGTGCAACACATGCGTGAGTGTTTATGCATGTGTGTGCGTGTGTGTGTGCACAAATGTGGAGAGCTGCCAGATTTTTGTGTTTTCATGTGCCAAAAACTATATAAACATAATTATTTAAAATACATTATTAGAACCATAATCATTATCACTCAAACAGGTGCCGGCAATTATTCCATGAAATTATATTAACCGCTTGCTTAGCTTCATAGTTACAAATACATAGTATAAAATGCATTATTTGCAGTCGGGCAAAATGTAAATCTATTCTTAATAATTTATCTATAAAAATAATTGTGTGCTATCAGGTGCGAGCGCTTAAAGTAAACATATGTTAACAGAAACACAGATGCAAACACGTTAAAGACTACGTTTCCTCATTAAGGCCAAAGGCAAATCATTTTTACTACCCTCTAATTTGAATATCATTGGACAAAATAGATTCGACTCAAAATGTGATTCACGGCTTTTAAAATATGCAAATCCTCTGCCAATAAATTAAATATTACGAGCTGAAATATTTGCATGCAAATATTTGTGAATAATGAGATAAGAAATTATGAATACAAAATGTTGATTTCTTGAAATTTTAATAACTGAAGAAAAACATTATCGAAGAACTCTATCAAAAAACTATGAAAGAACCTAAAAAATAAGTAATTTGAAAATGAATAGAGATACAATAATTACATTTCCATAAACCCCCCGAAATAAATGAACTTAAGATGCATAGCGCTATGATATAAATCTAATCATGCCCTTTATAAATAAAAGTCAAACCATGTTAATGGATTTGAATATTTCAGGTGCGGTTCTGAGGTGCAATTATGTTTCCATATTGATTAGCGTGCTCCATGTCCAGCTCCGATTCGCAGCCAAATTTTGTTGGGCAACTGTTTGTGGCGAGTGAGACCCATGTGAAATGCCTGTGAGTATGCCAAGTTTGTAGATTCCGATTATATATAATCCTGACTCAACTCTCTCTGGTTAGTATGAAAAATTCAACAAAAAGCGCCGACAATGGGAGGATAGTGGAGTATTAGAGCTAATTAAACTATGGAAAGTTTGCGCCTATGAATTGCGCACAATCAAACGAAATGGACACCTTTATGTGGCTATGGCAAAGCAAGTGAGTAATGGACAAATCAAATACAAATAATTTCAATGCCAATTCAATTTACTATAATTATCCAATTATCTCCTATGTTATATGCATTAGTTCCTTTATTAATGTCTATTCCCTCCCTATTCTTATTTTTACAGCTAACGGGTCTTGGCGTACCCGTTACCGCGCTAGAAGTACACTTTAAGGTCAATAATCTAACACAGCGTTACAGACAGGAGCAAAAGACATTTGAGACAACGGGCATTATTAGCACGTGGAAGTTCTACAGCCAAGTGGATGATGTTTTCAAGAGTTTGGCTGCACACACGGGTTACAAGTGAGTGCCACAGCCAAAGACAATCAATATGCCACTTGGCTAATTCAAATCTATCCGCAGAGACAAACGCATGACGAGCTCCTCGAATGCCAGCAGCTTACCATCGACATCCGAGTCACCAGTTTGGAAAAATCCAATGTCTCAGCAAGAGTTCAATAGCAACAATACGGAGGGGTTCTACAAGTAAGAAGCTAGTCCAAAGCACATATTTATTGTAAGAGTATTAATTGGCGTTTGCTTGCAGAACGGAGTATGGCATGCATCGCCACTTTATGGACCACTCCCAGCCGCCGCCGAATGCGGGCAATGTGGATAATTTTATGGCCTCATCGGCGGCGGTGGCAGCTGTGGCGGCGGCTGCCTCGGCGCGGCTCGCCGACAGCAATATGGAGCAGCAGATGCAGAATACCGCCGGTGCCAGTGGCACCGGTCCAGGTGGCAATACCAATGGCGGCGTGCCCAACTATAATAAAATCAAAAAGTCCCACGAAGATTATGACAAATTCGTGGACATTGTAAAAAACATCGTGGACACACACAAGACAACGCCCGATAAGGTGGACGCGTTCGCCGACTTCATTAAGTCCTATATGCGGCGTTGGCCGGAACGGCTGCAGGACGAGGCCATCAGTCACATGACAAACTATGTGGTTGTTAAAAACATGGAGCACAGCATGGGCAGTGTGCCCGGCGTCAGTCTGCACAATCCTGAGGGCGTGAACAATCGGCAATAACAATACAAGCAGGAGCCCAACAACTAAAACCCGATTTGCGGGAGTTGTTGGACGATCGTCGTGGCGGTCGTAGTTGTCAGCTCCACGAATCCAAGAACAAGGGCAACAGCCAGAATTTACGTAAATCAAATGTGGCGCAAAGTTACTTAAAAATATGAAAGCACACACACATAAAAAAAAAACACGAAAAAAAAAAATGAAACAGGAATTATATATCTGCAAACAGCACTGAGAGAAATCGGTCAGTTTTGCTTAGATCATATTGTAAACGATTTCAGCAGTATTTTTTGTATAGTAAAAATATACAATAAAGTTTTTAGTTGTATGCCAGAGCATTTCGCTAAGCTTCGAATTGAGTTCGATATAGTGGAATCAATACACACCCACACACACAAATACACTCACACACAAATACACACGTACACAAACACTTGATTTGTAGAGTATAGAGAGTACAATACGATTATATGTAATATGTTTAGATATCATTTCCTACTGTTAGCTGTAAACGACAAAAACCTAAATGAATAAACGCTTTAAAAAAAAGACAAAAAGAAAGTCGAAGATGGACAGAAATAAGGCTTAGTCTGAATAGGATTACATATGTATATACCATCCTATTGTAATACCCTCAACTATAATGAATCACAAATGTTTTGTAAAGTTAGAATTTTATTAACTTTAAATGCGCTGAATTTGACACGCGACACTGTTAAACATATTCGCATTGGATGTGGCCGTGGGCGCAGTGGGCGTGACCAGGAAACGGGCAAAGGTGCCGCCTTTATTGTCAGCCAAGCGCCCTGGATTGATGACCAGACAATCATTGACCAGTCGTATGAAATGCCTTTGATCACTGGGCAGGATGAGCACGTTGGGCAGCTGCTTGAGCTGTGCATATTTCTGGGCCAGCTGTGAGTCGTAGGACATGTTCTCATCGGCCGGCGGGCAGATCGGATAGAAGGTGCCCTGATTGAACAGATGATTGATGGCGCGATGCATGCGCTCGCCTGCGTTGGCGGCAAACTCTTGGCTTAGCAGATGGTCTATCACGTCCGTGGAGCTGACGCCCAGCGTGATGCCATCCAGATCAACCAGCGAGGGATCGGGTAGCATATGCAAATTGGGATATGTTTTGCGTACCATTGGCGAGGGTGTGGGATAAACCGCTGGAGTCATTGCATCCTTTTGGCTGCTGACCAGCAGCACTGTGGTGCTGGTGCCCACTGCCTCCATGATGCCCGCAATCATCTTCTCAAAGAACGACTCGAAGGTCTCGGCCAGCTCGACGACCAGCTTGTGTTCGGCATCTAGGAAGGGACCCGTCAGCAGCAGCACGTCGGGTCTGTGCTCCAGGAGATACTTGAGCAGCTGGTGCATCGG